ATTAAATGATGTTAAAAACAATGAGAACAATCTGGAAAACTGAATGTAAGATCAAATACTGAATGAAGACATCTGGGATAGCAAAGAGGCATCTCCCAGGCGCTAATTTTCCAAAAGAAATCCCCCTGTAGAGATCATAAGAATCTTTTACACAGAGAAAAGATACTCCCTCCAGCAATAAATAAGGGGATGTATGGACAGGCCACCCACCACATCATCTCTGCAAGAGGCAGACAGCATAAAGTCTACTGATACACCACAGTCCACTATTGCCCATACACACTGGAAAGAGGCAAAACATACATTCTAGCCACATTTCCAGGGATGACTAAGTATTTGACTAGGAAATATATATCTGTTTTATGGTGCAAAATTCTGCATCTGGTTCTTTCAGAGCAGTGCATGAACACGTGAATAATGCTTTCTTTTGAACACTTTGTTTTTGAAACATTTGAACCAGGCCAGATCTGAACTCAAATCCAATTTTCCTGCTAACATATGTTAAAAAGAATATCTGCAACAGAGAAATCCTCTGCAGGAGCATTCAGATCCCAGAGCTTTGATGGCCCATATAGGATAAATCAAGTCCTTCATAACTGAAAGATAAAGCCTCATGAACACACACTAATATTCAGCATACGCACATTTGAAAAAGAATAATAACAACTGAGCTTTTAATTAATACAGACACCTTGGAAATCTTTCTAGAATAGGAAAAGGATTTCAAGGACAGAATCTCGGCTCTGAGAACATAGCGGGCAAATGTCACAAACGTAAAAACTTCCAGTGCCCCATTAGGGAATAAGTTACTATTTTCCTGAGGCTCATAGGTTTGGTCTGTGCTCAGGAGATTGAAGAAAGTATCTCTGTACCTAGACAGCCCAGGCGTTTTTAGCTGAAGAATAGAAAAAAAGACAGATGACAGAACTTAAAGTTAGTGAACTTAAAGTTAGGCTTGTTTCTGACTATAAGATTACAGAATTTTATTTTTAATTTACATATTAAAATTCATTTCTGGGACAAGAACGCATCCGATTATAAAAAAAACATACGTGGTTTTCATTGGTAGGTGTACAAAATGATATCAGTACTTTCAAATGCTCACCAGTATAAGGGAAGAATGAACTACAGATTTCCGTAATACATATTCTTCACTTCTGCTATTTGAAACTGTGTCATCATGACATCAGAAAAACATCTATGAAATATTTACAAGAAAAGTCTCCCTGAAAATAGTTAATAGTAGATGTTATATAAAAAGAACAGAGAGAGTCCCCAGTGAGATTCAAAGCAAATAAAAGAAATTTCTTGCTACCTTGCATCATTCAGTGTAAGCATGAAGACTCTATTCCTCCTAAGCATTTCTTACCTTGTTTAATCCAAATAGTGGTGTCACTTAACAGTTAATTATTTTGGAATACTACCAAACTCCCGGCCTCAGTTCAAAATACAATGGATATTTTGAAAATTGACATGAACAAAAAAATCACTCTATGTGACAAAATTTTTAATAGTTATAAATAAATTTAGGAAGAACAGAGTTATTTTCTTCATGACTACATTCACTAAATATAATTAAATCATATACTTCTTTCTGCATTTAATTAAGCAATGTTTTGAATGGTGACCTTATGCCTTTATTGATAGAAGTAAAATTGAGATAGCCTACAAAATTACTTTGAGAATAAATAACAACTGAAAATATATAAAAGCTAACAGCATATCTGCCGATTTTGTGTAAATATGAAGCATCTTCAAAATCAGAAAACAATACAAATATGAGCGAGAACAGTATATTGCACCTTGAGGATACAGAGAACAGAGTGCAGCAACACCTGGAACCTTAGGGGGAACACATGTAACAACACACTACAGTGCCTGGCTATTTTGATACTATGAACTGGAAGAGCAACAAAGACATTTTGGTTTTAACATCTGTGTGGAGATCTATATTGGCAACATTCTGAAGAATAAATTTAAATAATGGCATATGTCTGTGACTGTGCCTCAAAAGAAAGAGAAGAGGGCACATCCTTTGGGTAGGCTGAAGAAGTAAAGAGCAATACTACAGAAATGTGCACAGGCAGGAGCAAAATGGATTGTCTTGGAGACTGAAAATATGCCCACATGACATAAATGTATTATAAGAGCAATATAAAGGGGACAGAGCAGGAGAGGGGAGAAGTTCACTTCTATGCACAAAAAGAAAATTAAACAAATTGGGCCTTGCACCACAGAAAAATTGGAAATTGCTAAAATCATGCAGAACGACACGTAAAGTAGCCACACGTTCCATCCAACAGGATAAAGGACTCATCTCCTTCCTAAGAGAAACCTCTTTCATCATGCTGTGTAAGGTCCTTACTGGAACATCTGAGCAGTACTTGTTCTGGAGCCACCTATACAAAATAGGCCTCCTATTTCCCATCTTTAAGAACTTTATTTTAAAATACTCATTTTAATTGACAGAGCCATTGTAAAAGCCTCTGATTCCCCTCTTTTTCCACTGTATTTCATCTGTTTCAGTCCTGGGCTTCCTCCAGCTTGCATTAAATATAGCATGTGTATGACCAAAATTCAATGTTGTATAAAATGTGAAATTTCACATCTATTATGGAGCAGTCTGTTACTTTGGCACCTAAATTATGCCAATCATGGGTTTTAATAATTAAATCAACTTAAACTTGATTTTTAATTTAGATAATAGGAAAATATGTGAATATGATCAGGTGCAATACAGAATGAGAAATATTAAACAGTGGCAATTTGGATTTTTCAGTCTTCCTTTTTTTTTGATGTGTATCTTTGAGGGGTCAGGGAAAATTGAGATTCTGACTGGCTAAATTGGTGAAGGCTTGTAGCTCTTCAGTTTCCTCTCTTGGCCACATTCCAACTCAAAACCATATTCTACACATAATAATTCTCACAACTACTGACCAAAGTGTTTAATAAGCTCTGACAACAGGCAGTATTGCGTAAGTATTGCCTAACATGCATTAATCCAACAGCAATGATTGCAGAGGCCATTTACTGTTAAGAAATGCCATAGAATGACTCTTAAGAAATTACCATATAACTCATTTTTACCATCATAAAATATTGAAAGGATTGGTTTTGTTTTTTTGGATTGACACAGGACATATTTTCATTATTAACATTGCATGACTTCCACCAGCTGATACACAGAAACATTTACAGGAGATCTTTCATTTCCTCTTTCTCTCTTTTCCTTCTCTTTCTCTTTTTCTCTCTCTCTTCCTCTATCTTTCTGAATTTTGATCCATTATTGATCCATGATCCATGCTTGTAAAATGCAAATTACTAATCTTCTTCAAATTTCTAGCTTTGGTAGGAAAGAAATATAAGACCTTACTATTATGTTACCTTAACTAAAATCTTGGTTTCCTTCAATCCGTATTTCAAGGCTCATTTCACCTAGTATCTCACAAACATTTTAGTTATCAGTGATTAAGATTTCATAATGTTCCATGAATAAGGAACTAAAAACAGAAAGAAATAAACATATTCACTGGATTGTTAATGACATTTTAGCAAATCTTGGTAAGAATGACAGCATGAATCAAAATTCCCTATACTGTTAAACCATAGAAGAGTCAGCAAAGATTTTTTGTCCCTGATTTCTATTAAATTCAGTATTTTATGAGATGCTATTTAGAGAACATAATGGTATAAGTTCTGCAGAGTGGTTTATCAAATATAAGGTATTTCAAGCTGTAGCAAAGAAATATAATCTCTCCATGGAGGAAAAAAAAAAAAAAAAAGCTGATGCAAAAGTATATAAGGTCAGGGTCCAGCAAATTAATATATATTTGAATCCAGAGCTGTTCGAACTAGTTAATTACAAATATTGCTGTGGATCTGACAGTTCACTGATCTATCCTAATATTTCATTTCAATTTCTTTTCCAGGGTTCAGAGCCTACCATTCTTTTTATGTGGTTGATAAATCCCTTTAAAATATTTGTTCTCCATAAATATTTGCAAAATATTTGGATGAATAATTCATTGTGTTTGGGGTTGGTACATGCATCCTGTTCCATGAATAGGATGAATGAAGGATTTTGAATATAAATATGGTAAATTAAAAATCACGCTTTTAAGTACACTACTAGATAAAATTATCTAGAATCTGTTAAACTTAGGATTGGATACAACCAAGATAAAACCCTAGACCTTCAGCTAGTTTATGAGTCTTCATGAGTATTATATCACACAGAAATAGATTCAACCAAGAGCTTTTAGCTCTCTATGCTGTGCTTAAAGAATATATAATACTTTGTATCTTGCTCACATTAATCTAAAAATGAATAATAAAAATAAGGAAAAGATTTCTGGCTATATTTTTAGGAATTCTTCAGGCAGATATGTATAACAGAGAGAAAAAGTCCTGTCTGGCTTGATGATAGTCATTCTGTTTGAAAGATTAATGTTTATGTATTGACTTAGACAAGAATTTGGCTAAATACTCTATTTTCCAAAGAAATAAGGACAATCATAGAAGTTTTTTTATTCTCTATCTTGCAAAGGTAGTTAAGTCAAGACAGTGGCTCTTTATGTTCTTCACGTATTATCAAAGGCTCCCCTTTAGCCGCTCCTGCAGTGAGGAACAGAAAAGCCACCATTCCAAATGTACGTCTCCTATAACATGTTCCAGCATATTTATTCCTCCAGGTTTATTTATCATTCGTCATAACACATAACGTCCCATCCATTTTATTCATCATAGACTTTTACAATTTCAAGCAGTGCATTCATACTATTTACTACTGGTAACTTCACGCTCCATATGCAAAGTCTTTTTTCAGACAGTAGATAATCTTGTTTCATTTTTGCCAGTGGCCAGATGTAAATATAATGGAATGTCATTGATTGCATATTTGCATTACACATACGGTATTAACACACCTTCATTTATTCTTTATTATCCAAGAAAAAAAAAAAAAGAAGAAATGTCAGAGATCCAGAGCAAAATGAGGGTGCATTTAGAAGGTAGAGATGGTCACATTGCTGCAAAATGGCAGCAGAAGAAGCTGCTACACCAGCTAGAAAATTGGTGCATCCATAGTCCTCAGCAGGTTATTCCCAGCCTTCACTGTTAGTTTCCATCCACCCTTACTATTATCCTCACCTACACTAGTTTTATTAGTATAAGCAGAGATATGTGTATTTTTGCTAAAATCACCATCACCAAATCCTGCTCAACCATCTTCTCTTGATTTGGGTCTAAACTATGAAAAATAAGGATTGGGGGGAAAAGAGTCATCATTCTTCTATTGAACTCATGTGTCTTAAGCCTTTTCATATGCCTTGTTGGAGCAAGGGGATGCAAAAACTATTCCAAGAGTTCGGCAGAATGCTCCCTGGAAAGCACGAACCCTGCCTATCTACATTCCCCTGCAATTTTAACTTAACACAGTGCTGTTAAACACTGTTGTTAAGAATTGCTGTGTGCTGCTAAAGTCTTCCCACCTTTTGCCACAGAGGCTGTGGCATTTCAGCATGATATGAGATTCTTGCACTAGTTTATAGCTCATAAATGAAAGCTTCAACAGATGGCAAGATCATCACCACGATGATTTGCACTTTCAGGATATGTGGGATTCTGTGTTACGTGGCATAACATATGTGGCGTTCTCCTGTTATGTAAGTAATTCAGAGCTCCGAAAAGCTATCTATCCTTTCTCTCTGTGGCACTTGGGTCATCTGAGCCTCTCTTAGAGGAAGACAGAGGATGCAATGCAAGGTTATTTCTCACAGTTTGTAAATGTCTAGGTTAGAATATTGCCCTTATCAGAAGCCATGCACTTCACTTTACTGAGATGGTCATATTTTGGTTCACCTTAATATCTAATGAACTTTTCGCTCTTTCTGTTTTTGACTACTCATATTCCAACCCAATAATTATGGAGATAAATACTGGATCAGTTTAAGAAAATAACAGACTACACTCTGCCAGTTATTAACTGAATTTTCTCATTGAGAGCTAACAGTTAAACCATTTCTGTCTTATATTCAAAAGAGATTATGACTGTCTTTGAAGTGCAAATTAAAATAATCAGCAGAGTCAGCATATTCACTTATTTTGAATGTCATTCTAAAAGTCTGTTGAATTTTCTAGTCACAGCCTACAGGTCTGTGCCGCTGAAAGATGAAGTGGGTAAACACACAAGAATCTGCTTCAGATAAGAACTTGCAGTACAGAACTGCTTATATGGACAATCATAAGAACAGTAATGTTGACTAAAAGCAATTTATACATTTGAAGCTCGTAAACTTAGAACTTGTGTTAAACCAAAAGCCAGATAGTTCAACCAAATTTAATTTTGAGAACAAACACATTAAAAATGTATTTTAAAAATATATATCCAAATAAGAAGGGCTAGGATATGACTATATTGAACCAAAAATAAAAGTTTTATGACAAGATGCTTAACCTATCTGTGCCTCAAGTTTCCCAGCAAGATAGAAGGATGATAGCCTTTTTGCCCTTACACTGGATTGTGAAGCTTAACTCATAGAGATTTTTACCTAAAGTCCATTAAAACCAATAGAAATCTCTCATTGACTTTAATGAGCTTTTGCTCAGGTCTTTTACAAGTCAGTTGAACGAGTGTCATTGAATTCAAGCCCTAATTTTATAGAGCTTTCATATCCTCAACTTGGAGGCAGATGGAAACATAAAGTTGGAGTTATAGAGGTGTTATATTTACAAAACAAATCACCATAAAATAAAGTTGAGCATGTTGTTTAAACCCCAGCATGCGAATCACTGCATGTGTGTTCACCCAAGAATGCATATATCATCTATTTAGTAAGACTTGTTTCTCAGATATCATTAACTGACAGTTACATAATCATTTCAACTCTGATGGATGCCAACTCACACATTTAATCTGGATGAAGTACGGTTCATAATGACTTTTCCATTAAATTGGCCACAATGTCAGATAGATATTATAAATTGTCACTAAGTTTTAATGCTGGTATTAGCCTGTCTGTGTAAGCAAAGACAGTAACTGATCCAGCATTAAGCTTCCTAGGATATAGTTAACTCATTAAAATCTTTTAAGAGCTTGTAGCAACAGAGTGAGTTTCAGAATGAGATAATAAATAAATAATTTTTTTTGACAACCTATGATAATCACAGACTACTTAATCAATAATTCTGAGAGATTAAGATTTATCTTTGTGCTCATATATGGAACAAACAATATCACAAATTAAGTACTATTCAAAGATTGACATCTTTGATGATATTTTTGTCACTTCATTTAAGGGATTATTTTCAAAGAAGCCAACAAGCAGAAAGGAAATATAAAAGTTTTCCAAATCTTAGCTAAAACATTTTCATTTTTCCTTCACTTTAGTAAGATGTCTCTCTATACATTGATATTCCAATCTAAATCTTGTGAAAAACAATGCAAATAATACAAAGAGATACTAGAATTTATTATATAATATTTTTATGAAAAAAGTAAAGATAATCTGCCAAGAGGATACCTTTTAGAAACTCCTTTTTCTTCAAAGGTGCACCTAATTTAGATCCTGAATGATCACAGGGATTTTTCTTTACCAACTAACCCATTAGGCTGTTAACATGTTGTTATTCCTTGAGTGAAAAAAATGGTTCTAACATCTGTTCTCAATCTGTTCTTCCATAATTTCCTTTTATGCCCTATGTAACTCATTAATCTCACCTACAAAACACTATCTACACTAAGCTTTTCTATTATAACATTGCATGAGTTTTCGAAAATGGTAAATCTAAGATACTATAAAAACTACTATAAAAATACACTACTTATCCTGAATCTTTTGATCCAAGATTTCTTCCAAATTAAAACTCTGACACATACAATGTTTATCCTACTCTCTTAGGTGATCTATATTTTAACAAAATGTGAAAACTGATTCTGGTCTCACCATTGTGGAGTCTGTTTATGACTCTCTGATACAGTCTTATGAGAAGAAAAGTGTTTAAATTAAGAAAAATATACTTCTAAAAGGCTTCAAGAGAGTGATTTTCAAATATTAACTTGCTTGTGCAGAAGTGATTTCTGGAGTGCAGCAGATAAAGGGGTATAAATGTGCCCCTGTAATCTAGAACTTAAATGCAGGTAAAACATTAAACCTGGAGTTCAGTATATCCCTCTAAATGCACTTTCCATTTTCTTCTACAGATGGAAATTTTTAACCTCAAGCTGGTTTCCAGCCCTATGATCTCTTCTGCTACCTTTTGTCTATACATAATTGCTGCTTTAATTGAATTTCTGGGGAAAAAAAAGACTATTTACAGTTCATGTCTTCCTATAATGCATTTATCAAGACAACACAAAGGTCAGATTTTCCATAGAAAACTAAAGAATTTACTGTCAAAGTAGTCTCAGTAGCTCTCTAAAGGTACCACTTCTGTAAGAAAAATGACACATTATCTGATGCTTTTCAGCAGCTGATAAATAATGTGAGGTCAAATCCTCATGAAGGCAATATTGCAGCATTTATAAACATTGGTGAATTGAGTAAAACTTTGTGGGCGTTTAGATTTTCCCTGTTACGTTATCTTGTATGAAAGCTTCAAGCTGCCTATGCCTTGCATTAAGTTGTGTGTGAGGAGATGAAAATGTGAAAACACAATTTTTTTAATGGAACCAATGCCTGACTGTGAAAGCTTCCTTATACTCTAAGTGTAGATCGCCAATATATTTGTAACTGAAGTAAGAGAAGATTTTTTAGTGATTTTTTGACTACACTTTATCTTGAGAACATAGAGAGTGACACAGAAAAGCCTAGTGCAGGGAAGAAAGAGATATTTTAGATAGACTGAACGAAATCTTGCAGGAAACGTGCTTTAAAATTACCTTACAGAAATCTTTGAAAGCAGCAACGGGGAAAAGAAAAAAAATAAAAACAGCTAGCAATAAAAGCACACAAAAAAGTGAAACAAATTAAAAGAGAGGCAAATGATCAGATAAGGTCAGACTTCTTCAAACTGGAAAGTAGGCCCTTTTTTGCATTTTTTCTTGAGAAAAAAATATTTCAAGTAAATAACTGAGACTAAACTACTAAAAGCCTGACAAATTCAGAAAAGCCTTGTTCTGTCTTTAATTAAGACAGTGGAACAACTTCTTTATGCACGGGTATGAAATTTATAACAGTGAAAAAATCTAGCTCTGACAACTTTCTCATGAAAATCAATAGAGTTTTATATTTTCAGAAAAAGAATACCTCTAGGCACACAGATCAAAAAACACCTTATAAATCCAATAAAATGATTTGCACTTCCACAAAGAGTGTGTTATAAGACACACACAGTAACAAACCCAACATCAGACTAAAACTAGAGTGCAGCATTTACTGTCCTTCTAACATTTTTACCAGCCAGGAAAGAGATCTTTTAGACTATATTTTGTCAATATTCAACATGAAGATGGTGGCACATAAAGAAAATTTCTATTTTATTTTTGAACAAAATAGATTTAAAACACACTTACTGTTGCCTGCAGACTAATTTAACAGTCAACACTTACTTAGCATAGTCGCAGTTTCCTACTTCTTTATCCCAGCCCTGGCACTAAAGCAAGACAGAGATCCCGGGAGGGAGCTGTTCACAACGGCACCAGCTGGCAGCAAATCCTAGGGGACCATCTGTCCTTCACAGAGCCCTGGCTCGCCCTCTGGCTACTCCTCCACTACATCCCTACAAATTTAAAACCTCCGCTGCTTCTCTCTCTATGTCGGGGAATTATTGAAAGGCGCTTTCACTCTTTTCACAATAGTAAAGCAAAGCCAATCTCAGCCGATCAAGATATAACTCTAAAAACTCTCACAAAAATAAACGCACAGTGGAGTCAGACTTGCTGTGTTAAGCACAGAGACAGGCACTGCTTTTCTGTTACAAACGGTACACAGAGAACCGACTTACCGGGCCGAAAGCGTTGCTGTCAAAGCTGTGTCCATGGTGATCGCCTTCCACCCAAATATGACCATGTGGAACTTTCACATACTTCTTTTTATATCCAATCGTTCTAAAAAATATTTTTAAAAAATTTTTAGAAAGTTAACATGGATTATTTTGGAATATGCACTCCAGTCCATAGTTGTTAAATGACCTCACACTTAGTATTCTAAACTTGGATAGCACTAGTCAAATGAAAGTCCATAAAGATTCTGAATGAGCTAGTTGCATTATCAGAGCTGTTTACTACACTGTTTTGGCAAATAACGCAGCACAACAGGGAGCAAGAAATTTCTCAGTTAAATATAATTAAGGGTTTCTTATTTCTATTTCCGTAGTAACGATTCTTTGAACCATCAGATTTTATCTCAGGTAAAATCTGGTGGAAATATGTTGTAGCCACATATAGACACATCTTGTAAATACATTTGGGAATACTGTTTTCCTGGGTAGCATTAGCATACAGACATTCATCAGAAATAATTTGGCATTTATGACTTGGCCTCAGATTCAGCATTAAGCATCACAGGAATGTAATGCTCATGACCTGGAGGTAGGATTTCTTTAGCTGTCACACCCTAAACAGGATAAACGTACAGGGGACATCGAGGAGGACAAATGCTGCAAAAACTGGTATTGATGATTCACACCGAGTGGTCCTACTGAATCTGCCTCAACATGCCCTTACATTATAGAAATGACAAATTACAGGGCAGTCATAAACCTGAGATTCAGTGTATACAAAATTCCTGTATTTAGTTCCTGAGTATCTATCATTTCACAATTCCAGTCTGTCTTCTACCACACTTTTGCTTTCTTTCAATCAGGTTACTATTACTCTGCAAGCTTTCATGCATAGAGGTAATTTTAGCTTGTACATGGAATTACTACCATGAAGAAGTACTTACAGATAGATCTGTCTGTACACAGACAGAAAGATCTAAGATCTAAAATCTAAGATCTTTTGATCTAAGCTTATTGCCTTTAGCTGCTCTGCCCTTTTCATAATCTGGAAGACACACAACAGTTTTATTCCAGATTTTGGCACAAACTTTTGTATTAACTTTGGTTATCTATCAAAGGTTTTCTGCACTTTTAGAGTGCAAAAATTTTGTACTCCTATTTTGATCAAAATATATTTTTTTCTTTTTTTTGTGAGGATACTATGAAGACAAGCTAGGAATAGATTGGAAAACATGAAATACAAGATATATGAGGATTCCTCAATATTATTATTTATTACATTATTATTTACTTTGCAAGTCAAAAAGCCAACCCATGTTTTTTCAAACAGTTCTGGAAGCAGCTGAATGGATGGAAGCAGCAGAATGATGTTCTAATGAGAGTTCTCCCTACACTTTCTTTAGAAGTAGACAAAACAATAAACTATTTTCAGAAGAAAAAAGACTCAGATTTTCATCTTTTTTGTAACAGTTTCATATTCTATAATATTCAAAGCTGAGTTGCTAAACCATTCCATATAAAAAAATGCAAAGTCATCCCAAGTTGGTAAACACACACTTACTTAAACTGAAACCATTGATCTGTAATAATTTAATTGTGCTAAAAGAGTTTTTATTATTATGGAAATTCCTTTTAAAAAAATATTTTAAGAAATGTGACCTACAGTCTGTACAATAAAATTACTTATATTCTGAGGCTGCATAATGGTTTTTTTAATAATAAATATTTTTGTAAAGTACCATAATAAACCATGTTTTCCTAGAAACATATGCTTAAAAAATATATGGGTTTAGAGATCTTGGCCATCAATTCTGCTCTACCTGCTCAGATAGATACTCTGGAAATTATTAAATGATTATCTTCCATCACTGATAAAGACAAACAATAGCACAGAAATATTTAATTTTCTCTTCTATTCATCCCACTGAATACATACAGCACAGTAGATTGTGATATGGTTCTATACCTTTTTAGACTTCATGCACAAAACTGAATTCCACCCAGAAGAGTGAAAGGAATTTGAACACGCCTGCATAAAGTTAATTCTGCCAACATGCTTACATGCCTTTCATTATAAAAATAGGTAATGCTATTTCAGTTTCTATTTTCATGGTACCTTAGGGTTCACTAGCCACCTGAGAGCTGGTGCTCATTAGGTGAAGAAAACATTAGCAAGTAATGAACAAAGTAGACATTCTACAGTGTTTGCTCTCTGACTAGCTCAGTTAGAATATACCGTTTCTGGGGCTCTGAGACATTATCTTCTAAAAGCTTGTACTATGTTAAAATATAATGTTATAGCTCTTAGCTGAATACCACTGCTTCTTCAAGAAGTTACTGTGCTTCCAGAATAAATTCTCAAAATGACCCAAATTACCAGATAGTTTTGTATTTAAACTATTGACAAGAACCTCAGATATCATAAAAAAGCAGATCAGGCAGCAACTATTCATGCAATTCAGATTTTGGAGCATGGTCTTCCTTGACCGTAGAGGAAACATCAGCTACCATGCTTGCATCCATATGGTGATGTGTGCCTGTGGTTTACGAGGATATATACAATGACAAAATAGCCAATACTCTAGTCAGAGCAGCATCTCTGCTGCCCAAACCACATGCGCATGCACTTCTACAAAATATACCCACAAAAGAGACAGACTAGTAGATTCAGGAGAGAAGAACCTCAGAAATGTCAGGAAAAATATATGGCAAATGCAACATCTCAGAACAGCCACAGCCTCCCACCCCCAAATAATTCCTTCTTTTATTATGATTCAGAAGTCTCTAATGAGGAAGGGAAAAGCTTTTGCAATATGTACTTGGAAACAAAAACAGAAAGTATGGTCTTAGTGTTGTTTTTTGATCTACATGGATTGATCTTGCAGAGACCCAGTAAAATAAGGAAGTCTTAACGCAGGTATAGAGTGTGTTCTTAAAAAAGAAAAAAAAAGAAAAAAGAAAAGATTACAGAGTGCAGAAATTACTCATTCTTTTTATATTCTTTTTATATTCTTTTTATTATCCTTAGGACATAAGAAAATATGCAATTTTTTTTTATTCTTGAAACAAGCATTGTAAACTGGAATCGTTCAAAAAATGCTGTCTCTCTCTTAAAGTCGCTGATGATAAATTATATACAAATTCTCATATTGAAGAAAAGGAGATGATAATGCAAGATGTTTTGACTACAGGAAATAGAATTAAAATTGATGATGTTAATAAATGCATTAAGGAAATAGGCAAGAGAAAAACTAATGGAAAAGAAACAGAAGGAGTAGTTTTAATTATCTACTTTAGTAGATAGGACAGATACTGCACAGATAAATCGTTCTGTAAGCTCAGCAGATAAATGCAAAGTTCTTTGCCATTTCATGCACGAGGTGTATAAAACATCAGATTTCTCTCATATGCAAGTGCAGTAGACAATTTTTTAAGCTATGTTGCAAATAATAAGTACTTGCATATCTGAGAACAGAAGGCAGGGAAATTATTTTCCTAAGACAACTAGCTCAAAATGCTTGTGTAGTATTGCTGCATATGGTAGTTATATGGAGACTTTTTGTTCACTTTAGCAAAACCATCAGAAAAAAACTATCTTTTGGTTGAAATTTAAAATCAAGTTTATCTATCTGAGCCTTTCTTTGCATGTTTTTGAAACAAAATACAGCAATAGGCTCATGTTACTGTAAACTGGATCATCAATTACCTAATATTGTTTTTAATTTTCAAGATATTTAATTTTTCAGGATAATTTTATTGTTGAATTGTTTCACAATGGATCTATAAATCATTCACGCAAGCAAAACAGGCTATAGATTTCAGAAATCCATATTCGGTTAATGACTGTGGATTATTTTTAATTATTATTGTGAAAAATATGTTGACTTTTTCTATAAACAAAAGAACTTATAGCTTTCTCTCCTGTTAATATAAATAAATAATATAAATTGCTTCAAAATTAATATCATTTAATTATTAACTCTGCTTCTCTCACCCATGAATTAAATCATTTCCAGACTAAGTTGCAATGAGGCAATCATGTGTGCGAACTGCACTGGCAATAGGGCTCTCACTCTAAATGCATTTCAGTGCATGTTGTAAAACATTTTAGCCAAAAACACTGAAAGAAATCTATTAGCCACTTATCCCTTATCATATAAGGCCAAATTACTAATGCAAACTGTGAAAACTCATTTCTGAGAAGAAAGAGAATGTGTTGATTCAAGACTTTTCTTAAGGAAACCTGTGCAATCAACTTCCACTCCCTTTACAGATTCAATGTCATGTAAATATCAATTACAAGTTCTGTTATCAGAAAATTAGTGGCATATAAAATGAAAATGGCTTAGGAATCCTTCTGGTACTCTTCAACATGAACAAAAACCTCTAAAATTCTCACGTAGCTGAGATCTAAAAATTAATTAAAATCAGAACTACCATGCCACTAATTTTGCAACAGATTGTCAGAGGCCTTTAAGACAAAAGACATGGAGTGAATAACATATTGTGCATTTTGAATATAATGCAAAAAATCTACTTTTCTTTCTCAAGAAAAGCCCCTTTTATCCAAGTTTGCCTGTAATCTTAACCTCTTTGTTAGCTCTCACACATGAAGTATCTAATTAAATTTTGAAGATGACTGAATGAATTCTTCAGAGTATAATTGGTGTGTGTAATAATTAATTTACTATTTGTTAATTTTATAGCCAGTTCCTTATCATGAGATATAATTACAAAGTCATCTTTTAAATTTACAAAAGCTTCTCTGAATAAAAAGTAGTCTTTCACATTTTGAAATCCACTTTCGAAGCAAAAATAAAGACAACTTTCCATTACAGCTCATACCTTGCCAATTTTAAAGATATATCAAAACACCCAGATTTTGATACAAAGTATTCAAACACCTGTTAAGATCAATACTCGTGTGTTTAAGCTGATGTAAGAGGTTAAGATCTTTGATATGTTTGTAATAACCTCCTGTGCTACTGTTGATCAAACCACAGTTAAATTCTCACTCCATTAGGAACAGTGAACCTATGCGAGATGCAGTCATTTTTCTGACCAAAGCGTAATGGAATTATTTTAATTGTTTTGCTCATTTTTGCA